TAGAAGGAAAGACAGAGACAGACAGACAGAGAGGCTGAAGCGTGTAATTTTACATCTAATGAAATGAGATCTAGGCAATGATCACCAGTGGCTTAGATGGGAGGTTGATGGGAAAGTCTATTACACCACCCACCCACTAATCAATATTAACACCAAAAGTACTGGGGCAGTAAGGTATGTATTCCTATGGAGGACGCAGCCCCACCTGTAGTACAGCCTTACCTAAATAAACCCTGAATCTAATCAAGCCCCTCTATTAGCAGCTTGTGAGGTGTGGGAGAAGGGAGCATTTTAAGGCTGGGGATGTAGCATAGTGATAGAGCATTCACCCTGAATGCCCAAGGCTCTAGGTTCAATCCCTAGTACCACAAAAAGAGGGCTATCTTTTTTTTTTTAATTAGAAACAAGCTTCTTTTACTTGTCAATCCCAGCTTCTTCTCCCTCCCCTGCTCCCTTGTCTCACCACCCCTCATCCCAACCCCTTTTTGCTCCCCCGGCGGGGAGGGGGGAGGCCTTCCATGAGGGATCTTTAAAGTCTGTCAAATCATTTGGGGCAGGGCCTAGACCCTCCCCCACCGTGTGTCTAGGCTGAGAGAGTATCCCTCCATGTGGAGAGGGCTCCCAAAGTCCATTCGTATACTAGGAATAAATATTGATCCACTACCAGAGGTCCCATAGATTGCCCAGACCTCTAAACTGACATTCTCGCTCAGGAGGTCTGAATCAGCCCTATGCTGGTTTCCCAGCTATCAGGCTGGGGTCCATGAGCTCCCCCTTGTTCAGGTCAATTGTCCCTGTGAGTTTCTCCAGTCTGGTTCTGACCCCTTTGCTCATCATTCCTCCCTCTCTGCAACTGGATTCTAGAGTTCAGCTCAGTGTTTAGCTGTGGGTGTCTGCCTCTGCTTCCTTCAACTACTGGATGAAGGCTCTAGGACGGTATATAAGGTAGTCATCAATCTTATTATCGGAGAAGGGCATTTAAGTATCTCAACCACTGCTTAGATTGTTGGGGTCAAACTCGTAGATCTCTGAACATTTCCCTAGTGCCAGAATTCTCGTTAAACCTATAGTGACTCCCTCTATTGTGATATCTCTTTTCTTGCTCTCCTCAATTCTTCCCCTGACTAAATCTTCCTGCTCTCTCTTGTCCTCCTCTCCCCTCCTGTTCTCTCCCTTTTTCTCCCTTACCGCCCCCCACCATGCTTCCAATTAGCTCAGGAGATCTTGTCCCTTTCCCCTTCTTCAGGGGACCTTGAATGTCTCTCTTAGGGTCCTCCTTGTTTCCTAGCTTCAAAAGGGGGCTATCTTAAGCTTAAGTGCCACCAAGGAAACAGCCAGCCCAAGGGAATGTGGACAAAACTGCAGGAGAAGCCCACTGCTCTTAAATAAAGGTAGCTTTAAAAGAATTATCAAGGGGACACTCAGGAATGCAGTAAACAAGATGATAAAGACACTAAAGGCAATGTATATAAAATGAAGCCTTATTCAAACTGCCTGCCTTGGTCAGTGTTCCCTTGCTATGAAGAGACGCCATGACCAAGGCAACTCTTATTTTTGTTTTTCTTTCTTTAGAGACAGGGTTTCTCTGTAGGTTTGGAGCCTGTCCTGGAACTCTGTAGACTAGGGAGGCCTTGAACTCAGAGAGATCTGTCTCTGCCTCCTGAGGGCTGGAATTAAAGGCATGCACCACCACCTGGCTTGACCAAGGCAACTCTTATAAAGGAAAGCATTTAATTGGGGCTCACTCACAGGTTTAGAGGTTTAGTCCATTATCATGGCAGGAAGCATGGTGGCAGGCAGGCAGACATGGTGCTGGAGAATCTGAAAGTTCTACATCCAGATTCCCAAGCAGCAGGAGGAGAGCAACACTGGGCCTGGCCTGAGCTTCAGAAACCTCAAAGCTCCTACCCCATCTCCCAACTCTCCCACCCCCTAGTAACACACGTTCTCCGACAAGACAACACCTACTCCAACAAGGTCACATCTAATCCCTCTCAAGTAGTGACACTCCATGATGACTAAGTATTCAAATATATTAGCTATGGGGGGTATTCTATTCAAACCACCACACCAAAGAACAGCAGGAAAAGACCCTCCTTTGGCAGCTGGGGAAAGTAATTCGTCTATGCTTCATTAGACAGCATGGCATGATGGTCAAGTAGTTATAACAAGTCTATTTTTAAATTTCATGTGTGCACATGTGTGCATGTGGGTGCCTGCAGAGGTGGGGAAAGGGTGTTCAAAGCCCTAGAGCTGGAGTTACAGGAGCTTGTGGATGCTGGGGAATGGAAGTTTGATTCTCTGAAAGAACAGCAAGTGCTCTTAGCCACTGAACCGTCTCTCCAGCCGAAGTCCTATTTCTTAGAGCTACATACCAAAGTTTTACAGGTGAAATAAAATGGTCTGGCTATAATTTTTAAAAATAATCCCTGGAGAGGAGCTGAAAATCGAAGGGTTTGTGTTGTGAAGCTGGGCTCTGGCTATACCAGACACACTACTCAGGGCTGTTTGACAATTTTCACAATTAAGTAATGCAAAGAACATTTATTTGGATTTTTTTTTTTTTTTTTGGTTTTTCGAGACAGGGTTTCTTTGTGTAGCTTTGGAGCCTATCCTGGCACTCGCTCTGGAGACCAGGCTGGCCTCGAACTTACAGAGATCTGCCTGCCTCTGCCTCCTGAGTGCTGGGATTAAAGGCGTGTGCCACCAACGCCCAGCTTGGATTTTATTATTGTTTATGTGCACGTGTGTATGTCTGGGTATGAGAGAAGTCTGAGGGGTGTCCGATCTCCTGGAACTGGAATCACAGGCATTTGTGAGCTGCCAAATACAGGTGCTGGGGAATGAACTTGGGTCCTCTGCAGGAACAGTATGTTCTCTTAACGACTGAGCCATCATCTCTTGTCCAGCCCCATGGAAAACATTTCCAGAAGTCAAATGAGCCCTCCTGTGGGTATTACCATATTGACCACTGAGAGTACCAGGAACAGGAAGCTCAAGGAAAGGGCAAGGCAGGAAGGGCTGAACCTGATGTGTGCTGAACCTGACCAAGTATGACGTGAAAGGGTGAGGTCACTGCATCTCACTGCTGAAATCCTGCTTCCGTGTGCCAGGTACACTCTAGTGTCCTTGCTGTGAATGCTCCATCTTCTGTGACCCTCTTGAGAAAGAGAGCTGCACCTTGACCCCCAGTCCCATATGCCTGTTCCTGGGTGATGGTCCATGGCGCCATCTGCTGGCTGCAAGTGGAACTGACGCTGCCAAAGTTAGTCCCCAGGACAGAGTGGTGCTGATCTTATCACCGACCCCTTCCCACTCAGAAAAGACACACACCAAGTAAACATAGAAGAAGCTTTTTAATTTCATCACCATAAACATTATACTCTGATTTCTCACATACAGTATAAAATATTTACTCTGCTAAATAAATAAGACACAACATTATTGCAATCAGCACTGAAATCCACCCCCCTAGACAAGAGCTCCTTGGCTCTGGCAGGGAGTACTCCTGAGTTTGTGTGAGATTCCCCAGGCTGTGACAGATATGCCCCAGAGGCTGCGATGGGCAGAGGCCTAAGGAACCACACTTGTGCTTAGGGTTCAAAAGCCCCCAAAGAGAGGTCATGGAGCCAGTGGATAGAGTTGGAAGGGCAATCGCTTCATGGGTCCTCTCTCAGAGGGAGCAGTGGGAAGTCAGGAGCCAAGCTGGGGCAAGAGGAAAGTAGGACTTGGTATGCTGTGGAGACCTTGAGGCCCATTCCACTCCCCCCCCCATGCCCAGTCTCCAGTGGGGACATCTTGTGGCTCTCAATTAGGGTGACAGGTACTGGGCCAGGCAGTTTTGGGGACCATAACTATCACCTTAGAAGAGTAGTCTGGCAGTATCAGATATTTTAGGGGAACCAGTTTTTGGGGCTCCCACCTTACTCAATTCCTAGGCACAACATAAAAAGGCTGGGAATGAATTTTACTTCTAATGTGTTAAATAAATAAATTAAATATTTAAAGGCCTGTGTCTCCATGATGGCAACACAAGGGCCAACAAGCTGAGCCATTTCCCAGAACAGGTTGGGGTGGGGGACTCAGCAGAAAGGCAGTGCTGTGAACCACAGGGTTTTATCTTGACCGTTGGGGCTCCTCCTTCCAACTTCCATCCTGTCAAACCCTGTGGAGGAGAGTTTCCTACAAGAAACTCCCATGCAAGAGCAACAGAGGCAGAATCTGGACAAGGGACTTAGAGGGAAGTTCATTCAGGTCCCCAAAAAACTTTCCAAGGTGACAACCAGGAGGAGAGCTGTTAACTCTGAAGTCTTGGTAATGCACCTGTACAAGCCTGAATTTTCATCTCATGTGAGAAGCTGCCGCAGGCCAGCCAGACTCTGAAGCCAGAGCGTGAAGCCCCAGCTTCTATCTGTGCAACTATACACCTCACTGCTTTGGGGTGGCAGCAGAGAGCTACCCCACTTAGGCAACAACAGACCCGAAAAGCCAGCTTCACAGCCCTCTAGGATGAGACTCCGTGAGGCAGACCCTTTCTTCAATGCCTTACAGCATTCTACACAGAGTATTTGGCCAAGTCATTCTTATCAAACACTACCTGCGTAGCAAAGTAAATGGCGACCAGACCCAAGCCTGCAGCTGATACCATATAGGCAGTGACAGAGTGGCTCAACTGTACAATGGAGCCCATGAACAGGGATGGAGCCACCTGGGACAGCAGGAAGGCACTGTCCAGGATGGCGAGGTCCAGGCAAATGCCCCGTCCAGTGACAACCTTGGCCTCAGGAAGTTCACCCACCATCACTCGCATGGAGACATCGCAGGCAGAGGCCCCACACAGTGCAGGTGGAGGCACCAGGATGCTGCTGCCGGGGCCCACATGTCCACTGGGGAAGGGAGCGCCTGGCTTAGGACCTGGCAAGAAGCTAGTTGTCTGGCTGTCCTCACTGCCACCACATCCAGCGTCCCCTCGGTATTTGGGCAGGAACACCTGAGGGTGAGGGGCAAAAAGGAAACAAAGATAGGTGTGTATCCAGGTGCAGGGATTCCCAGATATGAGAACAGTTCCTCACTGCCTCTGACCCAGGGGCTCTAAGAAACCAGGCAACTAACTGGCTTTCAGGAAAAAAAAAAAATCCAAAAACTGGGGAAACCCTACTTGCTGCGGATCTAAGCAGAACTTTCAAATTTGAAGACTGAAGTCTACTCTAGCTTTTCTTACAATAGAGACGTCAGCAAGCTCAGATCTACAGATTGAGAAAAGTGCAGAACCTCAAGAAAAGACAGAAAAAAAAAAAAGGGACAGACAAAAGCAAGACACAGAACAGAGAAACAAAACACAAAAGAGGCACTCCTAAAGTCCCAAGTCCCACACAGGCTACCTCAACCCCTTGAACACCCTTTTTTATCCTGGGTCATAGGGAAGTCTTCACTGTCCTGTTTCTGCTCTAGGGTCCAGACCGTGGCTGGAGATACTGCCCAAGGTGAGGTCATCACTATCCTGGCCTTTGACCAGAGAGGCCCAGAAATTGGGCCTGCAGAAGGGAGAGGCAGCAGGAAGGCCATTTTGGTGACCTCCACAGCTCAGCTGCCTGGCTCTGAAGCTTTTCAGTTCATTCCTGTAGGCTGCTGGAGACAAGAGAGCACGCATCTGCCTGACCCCATCAACCCTAGGCCCCAGTAGCCTGGGGCCTCCCTCCCACTGAAGGACAAAATGAGGTCTTATCCCATGCTGATCCTTGTGCCAGGCAGTGTCGAGCCCAGGAGTCTGATGGGGCTGGCTGCACCAGAGAACTAGGAGCACGCAGGCCAGGCCAGAGAAGCCCACAACTCATCAAGCCATCCCATAGCTCAATAAGTGGCAAGGGACAGTCAGACAGGGTAAAGGACCAGCCATCATCTTCAGCTGCTGCTGGAGACTGGCCTCTACAGACACTTTTCTCCTGCCTGCCACCCAGGGAAAGAACAGGAAGGCTGGATACTAAAGGGGTCCCCAGGGACAGACAATTCTCAGAGAGGAGAGCTAGGTCTGGCATAACCACAACTACTCATGCCTGATCTTTGGACAGAAGCTTTTAAAGTCCCAGCACAGAGCTCCAAGATAGGCAACAGAAGCCTGAGGGACCAGGTTCCCATTCCCAGCCCACCTCTCCACACACTTGCAAATTACTGCTGAGTAAACTAGCCTACTAGCTGTGGCCAGGGCCAGGTCTCTCCTAACCCTGAAAACTCTAGAAGGGAAGGCCTGTAGTCTCTCCCCTAAGCTACACCAACTTGTGCTCCTTAGGGTAGAGTTCTGAACCCAGGTCCTTAAACTCAGTGAGGACAGAGCAGGGGAGAAGGTGAGTATGCTGATTAGGTCAGGAGCCTCCCACAGAAGAGGGCCCTCTGCAGGGGCTGCTGAGTGTTGGCTGAACAAGGAGCCAGGAAACCAGTTTATTGCTCAGGCAAACAAAGTCAGTATGTCAAGCTCAGATACACATGGAAGGGACTAAGGGAGAGAATGGAGGCAAAGGAGGAAAGTGGCGGGGGGGGGGGGGGGGGGGGGGGGGGAGGGGGGGGGGAGAGGGGGGGAGA